AACCAAAACAAACAAAAAAACCCTTCTGGTCTACTCCTTTCTTAGCTAATGCAATTCACCTGATCAAGGCTTATAAATTATTATAATTTTCTAACAGAAGCAAGAGTCACTGGTAGGAATTATAATGAAAATTAATTGTGAGTCCTTCAGAATTCTATGTCACACATTTGAAGGTAACTTTGTATCCAGATTAAGAAAACAATGTTTCTGCTGATCATAGTAGTGCACACTTGAAATCCCAGTAACTCCAGAGGCTGAGGCAGGAGGATTCCAAGTTTGAGGCTGGCTTCAGCAACTTAATAAGACCCTCAGCAACTTAGCAATAGTCTGTCTCAAAACTTGTGGGCTGGGGGTGTGGCTCAGTGGTAGAGCACTTATCTGGATTCGATCCTCAGCACCACATAAAAATAAATAAATAAAATAAAGGTGAAAAAGGGGGAGAGATTCGGGCTGGGGTTGTGGCTCAGTGGTAGAGCGCTTGCCTAGCATGTGTGAGGCCAGGCCCTGGGTTTAATTCTCAGCACCACATATAAATAAATAAAATAAAGGTCCATTGACAACTAAAAAAATATTTAAAAAAAAGAAAGGGAGAGATTTTTTTAAAAAAATTAAAAAGGATGTAGCTCAGTGGCAAAGCACCCATGGGTTCAATCGCCAGTACCAAAAAAAGAAAAGAAAAGCATAGTGCTCAACAACACAAGTTAAGTCTTAAGTGAGTGAAGGCAGAAAGCACATTTCTCTCCTGAACATGGAGTCCCAGAAGAGAGGCTGGAAAAACAGAGGTACCGCTTGTCCACCTTTGAGAGTTAATCTGACAGGTATGGAGGTTGAGAAGACTTGCAATACCTATGGAAACAAATGTGAGTCTCTGGGCATTCAACAGGTTGGTTGGGTGAGGGGATCAGCTCAACCATGAGAGACAGAGACCCACCTGAGAAAGAACAAAGAGTCATCCTAACCCTCCTCAGCTCATGAACCTCAGTGTTCTAAAATGAGTCTGATCATGGTCATATACTATTTGTAGAAAATATCATTAAGACTGTGTGGCCAGAGGCTAAGAGAGGGTATCAGAAAAGGGAAAGTAGTCCTGAAGAGTAGAATTACTAACCTATATGGAATGATCTCAATGAAGTTACGGCTGGTTTCTGTGACCAGGTTTATCTTGTGAGCAAGTACAGTGAAGCCAAGAATCTGCAGGGAGTTAAAAAAAAAAAGCATAAGATTATCTAAAGATCATGCATTGTTTCCAGTATCAGAGATGCTCATAGCCTCTAGCAGGGCAGGAAAAGAAGCAAGTGAAGTCTTGCACAAGAACTAGATGGAGGCCTCAGTGGGACAGGGAAGGTAGAGGTCCTTCCTGATTCTTTTGATTCTCTAAAAATCCTTTTAACATTGTAGCCAAATCAAGGTCAGCCTTGATCTCTGACACAATGATGGGAACAAATGGATGCCATGGACTTAAATTTATCTCTCCCACAACCTTTAAATGACTACAGCAATATGAACATGTTGCCACATAGTGGTTGTATCAAGGTCTCACTTTTTAAAAGTTTTTAGATCCAGGTATATTGTACTAATATAGGTAAGTCTTTAAAGGAATTGTTGAGGTATATTAGTGAGAATTGAATGTCAAACCCTTAATAATAGAAAGCAGCATTTGATAGCATCAAGAAGAATGTCTTTAGCAAAGTAATTATCTGTTTTCTCCCCCACCCCCAAACTTGTTGTAAAAACTGCAGTTCTCTCTTTAGTCCCCAACTTTCAACTAGAGGGAAAATAGGCTAGTAAGCCATATACCTCATCATAAAGGTTTCACATCAAAGCAAAATAAACCAGAGACAAGAAACCTCAATGCCTCAATTTTGTTTGTTTGTGAGATGGAACCCAGGGCCTCAGGCATGCTAAGTACCAAGTTTTAAGATAATAATTACATTGTTGCTTTATTCCATTCTCTCTCTCAACACATAATTCTTTTTCCCAGCATCTGCTCCAAGAGTTCAACCTGACACAGAGCAGGGCAGCAGTTGGCTTATCTGTGATGCTACAATCTAATGAAATGTCCAGGGACAACAACTGGGAAATGTAGGGGGCATGTGGATATTTGGTGAACTTTGTGTCTCTACCACGGAACATTACTTAAGGGGAAAATAATTCTCAGGGACAGCAATCCCAATGTGAAAAATGCTAATGCTGACTTTAAAATCCGGAGCTTTATTTCTGAAAATGTCTTCTTCACAGTAGAAATGTTAATTTATAACTACAAAAGATAAATCTTCTTTGCAAATTTAAAGAAAGAAACAAGCCACCTTTTCATTGGACAGCAGTGATCCCCAGCTCTGCTATTTACTAGTCACATGGATCAGGCAAAAATCAAGATCCCATCTACCCCATTTTCTTTATTGTATAAATGAAAGAAGGCTGAATAACACTGTGGTTGCAACTATATCAAAATAGAAACAAAATTTCTGCATAGAAAATGGGAAAATTGTCAGTATTCACCTATACTATATAGGTATATACTATACCTATATTCACACACCTATTGTGTGTTGGAAGTAATAAAGGAATTAATAACTGAAAATACAAAAGTATTAATAGTAATTGACTTTGAGCAGTTATAACCATAGGAATTTCTTCCCCCTGTTTTTTAAAACCTTCATATATTTTTCAAAAATTCTAGAATGAACCTGTATTACTTTCATAAGGGGAAAAACCCTATTTAAAAAATATTATAAGAAAAAAGTCAATAAATATAGTACTTTAAACAAATTTATTATCATTATATTAGTGTGCACGTGTGTGGCACTGGGAGTTTGATCCAGGGGCACTCTACCACTGAGCAACATCACTAACCTGTAGGGTTTTTATTTATTTATTTATTTTATATTTTAAATTTTTTGAACACAGGGTGTCACTAAGTTGCCAAGGGTGGCCTTGAATTGAGAGTGAGGCCATCCTCCTGCCTCACTCTCCCTAGTTGTTGGGATTACAGCTGTGCACCATCACACCCAGCTAAAAGTACTTTGAAAATAAGTTTTTTTGAGGGGAGATCTATTGTACAGAATGGTGGCTACAGTTAATAATAATGTGCACTTGAAAATTGCTAAGACAAGAGATATTAAATGTTCTCACAAACAACAAAATGATAACTGCATAAGGTAATAGCAGTTTTAATCAGCTTATTTTGACTATTTCAAAACATGTTGTACACGGGAAGAATGTACAATTTTTATTTGTCAACTATACCTGAGTTCAAAAAAATTTTTTTAAAGAAAATAAACATTTTACCAATGTTGGCATATATTTTAAACTAAGGGTATATTTGGCTTTGACACAATTCAACATATTTTTTTTTCACATGTGAACATTAAATATGTGATAAAGTATGCATTTTAAACCACAGGTGTGAAGATGAACTTTTTGATAAATAATGCAGGAACAACCTGTTAGTCAATTAGGAAGAGCTAAAACTCCATTCCTTAAGCAGGAACACACTACAAATGGTCAGTGATCTAAATGTAAATATTGAAAATCTATCAGGATTAAAAAGAAATGTGTGAATTCCCTTGTAACCTAGGGATAAGAAGAATTTCCTGACTTAAAATCCAGACTCACAAAAAAGAAAATTTGACACATTTAAGTATCTTGAAATATTTATGTTACAAAAAACACAACAGGATGGGCTGAGGTTGTGGCTCAGTGGTAGAGCACTTGCCTGGCATGTGTGAGGTACTGGGTTTGATTCTCAGAACCACATATAAGTAAATGAATAAAATAAAGGTTCATGAACAACTTAAAAAATATTTTAAAAAAACCACAACAGGCAAATAAAAGAGATCTCACTATATTTATTTTTATGTGGTGCTGAGGATGGAACTCAGTGCCTCACACATGCTAGGCAAGTGTTCTGCCTCTGAGCTACAACCCCATCCCCTCACTGTTTTTTTTTTTTAATTCTTAATTTTACATTACTCTATGAACCTTTGCCTTCCTGAGCTATTTGCTTTCTATTTATTTATTTACTTTAAAAGTAGGTATTTAAAATGATCTGAATCGTGAAATTGGGACATCAAAAACACCTACCAGAATTAATTCCATTGGAAAGTTGATGGGATATTGATTGAAAGAAACTTTGATACATTTGTTGATTCTCAGAGCAACAGCAGTAGTTAGAAACAGTAGAATGCTGGTGGAATTAGCTTTGGGGAGACCTATACAGTAGTTCACTATGTTCTGAAAGAAAACAAAATTACAGAGGCTTAGAAAGAGATAGTAATTGCCTACATCTAGAAACGGACATTTTTTTTTTCTAGATTAGTTACAAAACAAGCAGTTCTAGGACAAGGAGGGCAAGTGAGGGGGATAGCTGATATGTATTTTTTGGAAATACATATGGAATATGATATGTATTTGATATGTACTTCTGATATGGAAGCTGATATGTATTTTTTAAAAAATTAAATAAGAGATATTAAAGGAGCTGGGGGTGTAGTTCAGTTGGTAGAGCCTAGTATGTGCAAGGCCCTAGTACCTTGAAAAATTAAAAAAAAAAGATCAAAAGAGACAGGATAGTTCAATAAAGTGACTTTATGTTTCAGTGTAACAACACAACAACAAAAACCTAGGAGTTCTACTTATTAGCCTATTCATTATTAATTTTCCCAAGCCATATGTGTTCTTTAACTGAGCTTCTATTTCTTTCCTACATTCAGGGACTACTTTGTATTTTATATCCTGCAATTGTTTTAGGATATGTGTCTGTAATGAGGCATGTATTGGGAGAATTATGATAGATACAGTAGTAACTTAAAGTCCAAATTATAATGAAAATTATGCTAGGCTGAAATGGTTATTGCAACTGAGAACATGGTCCGACTGACTATCTGCAGTTAACCAAGACTCTAATAAGTCTACGACTTGCTTGACTGAGCTGCCTCTCAGCCACATCTCCTTTTGGGAAGGGGCAGAAGTCTCTTTACTTGGTCCACTTGTTTTTTCAGGCCAGGAGCTGGGTGAGGGGTGAAGTTACTCACATAGAAGAAGGAGATGGGACCAGCGTGGAAGCTAATTACAATCCCTAAGATACAAGTCAGCTGGGACAGCATGATGTGCAGAGCGACAGCAGCTAGGTAAGCACTGATCAGCGCCTCCGGAAGGTAAGCAGACAGAAAGCCCATACCAAGCACGCCCATTGATATCTGCAAGGGGTTCAGATGGAAAAAGAAAGCCAGAAAGGGGCATCAAACCAGAAATGGCACCAAAGACACTCATCAGGGGCCCCCACGACTCCTTATCAGAAAGAAGAGTTTCCAACCAAGAAGTTATGGTAGGCCCCTTTGAGAACTTTTCTGCCTTGCTTTCCCCAGTGAATGGAGACTCACGGAATAAGCTGGGCCCTGGCCTGTGGGCTCAGAAGTACCCAACGAGCATGAGACCACACTCCTTTCTTCCAGAGCACTGTCAGCTCTCAGGTTCTTGCTCTAGAATCTACTGCCCTCTAGGTTGACAAGAAGGAAATGCTGAGAGGTGACCGCAACAAGCCTTTATCCTTTCAAACCTTTCGTATGTTAGCATCCCTGTGAGGAATGCAGCTTTTCACAGAGGAAAGGACAATAAACTGGCATCCAGTTCAAACTCCTTGGCCTTTGACTCTTACCTTTACTAAGAATGACTAAACTGAATCTATTTATGTCTTCAGGATTCATGTAATCCTGAACACATAATTAAGATATAACGCAGGTTAAGTATCCCAAATGCAAAAACCTGAAATCAAAAATTGCTCCAAAATTCAAGTTTTTGAGTGCCAACTCAATTCCACACCTGACCTCACGTGATGGGCTGCAAATCGTGAGCGCACTAAAAATATTGTAGAAAAGTTACCTTCAGGGTAAGTGAACAAGGTGTATATGAAACATAAATGACTTTCATGTTTTGACTTAGATCCCATTCCTGAGATATCCCCCTCATGTATAGGCAAATAATCAAAAAATCTTGGAATCCAAAACACTCTGGTCCTGAGCATTTCAGATAAGGAATACTTAACCTATATTGTATTCTATTTTTATTTTTTAAAAATATTTACTTTTGGGGCTGGGTATGTGGCTCAAGTGATAACGCACTTGCCTGGCATGCGTGGAAACTTCAGGAAATGAAATTAGAGATTGAGGACACCAATTTATATACATTTTCACTCTTTGAGGTTTTTTTCAATGTGTATGTCCATTTTTTATACTTAAAAAAATCCCTAGGGTTATAAAATGGGTGCATACAGGGTATATTCCAAACCCCCATAATAGGGTATGTTAAGAACTCTGGCACAACTTCACAAAAACAATTCAGGAAAAGGTGAAGATAGAACAAAATGGAAGTTTAAAAGCTAACTATTGTTATCACTTCATCCTCCACTGCACTAAAATGCTCAGAAAACAAACTTAGAACAATAAATCCTTTGGTTTTAAAAGATTTTTGTTTCAAAACTCTCAATCAGCCTGCCCTGTGTCTCCTTTGATCTGTCAGTACTGCCCAATACACTCTAACTCCAGGTAGAGCAAGCTGCTTCTTATTGTCAGTGTGGTTGGCTGATTGCCACCTCTGTGTTTATGAACCAACCCTTCTGTTTTGCCATCTTGGCCAATATAGGTTCACTATCTCTTTCGAGAGCTCAGTCCAATTCTTCTTCCTTAGGGGGTTTGGTGAAAACAGCATGGTTCTTGGGTCTGGAGAACCCAGCTTCAATATTGGGTCCTGCCAACTCACCAAGTGTGGACACCTTGACTCCATGAAGTTTGGTTTTTGTCATCTTTAAACATGAATAAGGGCTGGGGTTGTGGCTCAGCGGTAGAGTGCTTGCCTAGAACATGTGAGGCCCTGGGTTTGATCCTCAGCACCACATAAAAATACATAAATAAAGGTATTGTGTCCATATACAACTAAAAAATAAATATTAAAAAACATGAATAATACTACATACATCCCCATGATGTACAATCACAAGAATGGAAAATTATTCTTCATGTATGTATAATATGTCAAAATACATTCTACTGTCATGTATAACTAAAAAGAACAAATATAAAAAAGCAGAGGTAGAAAAAATACCAAATACAGAGGGATATGGATTCAATTATGTAACATATGTACAACACCTTGCTCAAATATGAAAACAGTGACAGACACAAATACTCATCACTCATTTTCATACCACCCTTTCCTTCTACCTTGTAAATGGCAAATGTCCACTATCAACATAGAATTCCCTCTGGCCCACTGTGATATGGCATCAGGTTTTGTGTTGGCATAAAATTCTAAGCAGCCATTATCAACCAGTCAGAATCAGCCTGTGAGACAAAACTTATATGAAAGAATTTTATAGAAAAAATTTATAAAAAGATTTTTTTAAAAAAAGTGTATGTGGAGGGGCTCAATAGATAGTTATTTCCTTCCCAGAAAACTCCATTCCAACTAAAGGTTATTCTTTGACTTCACGGGCACAGTCTCCACTTTTATAAGTATTATTTTATGCTTTAACACTACCTAGAGCACCAATTCTGGAGGCTGAGAGCCCTGAGACTGAATCTGAGTTTGGTATCTTGAGTCTGTGTGTCCTTGGGCAATCTACTTAACTTCTCCCTGCCTTTGGGTCCATAAAATAAGGACCACTATTAATATATACCTTCATAAAGAGAGTTACTGTGAGGATCAAATGAGGTAGTACATGTACAATGCTTAGAACAGTGAGCAGCAATAAATATTAGCTATTATCTAGTTCAGACTTCTATTTTTAAGTTAAATGTTAGATGGACTTGCAGACTTAAGAAACAATACAGACAGATCCATATACTCTTTATCCAATTTTTCCCAATGATAACATCTTGTAAAACAGTATCACAACTAGGAGATTAACATTGACATGGCCAAGATACAGGATAATTCTATCACTACAAGGACCCCTCCTGAAGCCACGTTATGACTGTCCCCGTATCCCTCTCACCCCATTCTAACCCCCAAGCAACCACTTATCTGTTCATTTCTATAATTTTGTCACTTTCAAGAATGCTACATATGTGGAGTTACACATTATGTAAACACTCCTATTTTTAATTTCATTGATTTTTACTTTTTTTAAAACTTTTTTTCCTTTTGTCTGTGTTAGGTTTAGTTTACTCTTATTTCTGTAAGTTCTTGAAGTTGGAGCTTAGATTATAGAGACTTCCTTTCTTCGCTTGTATTTCAGTGCTATAAATTTCACCCATAGAACTGCTTTAGCTGTGTCCCACAAATTTTGATAAATGACTTTTAAAAAATTCCCTTGATCTTTTTTTTCTGTGATCCATGGATTATTTATAAATATGTTGTTCAATTTCCAAGTGATTGGAGATTTTCATGTTCACTTTTTGTTAATGTGTTCTAGTTTGATTACACTGTGCTCAGAGAATACTCTCTGTCTGGTTTAAATTCTTTTAAGTGTTAAGGTTTGTTTTATCACTGGGTATTAGACTATCTTGGTACATGTTCCGTGCGTCATTAAAAAGAATGTGTATTCAGCTATTATTGAGTGGAGTGTTTTGTAAATATCTTTTAAATTCTGTTAATTTGATGGCATCGTTGAATTTTTTAATATACTTGCTAATTTTGTCTAGTTTTATTGTTGAAAGAAAAGTGTTGATATTATAAATTTGTAATTTGTTGATATTATGAACTGTAATTATGAATTTGTCAATTTCTCCTTTCAGTTCTATCAAATTTTGCTTCTCATAATGTGTAGTTCTCTTGTTTGGTGCATCTAGATTTAGGATTGCTATGTCTTCCTGGTAGATTGATCCCTTTTTTCCACTTAACTGAGGTATAATTGAAGAAATTGTTTCTATTTTTCACTTACAACATCATGATTTGATATACCTAACCACTGAGCCCCCAGCCCCAGCCCTTTTTTATCTTTTATTTAGAGACAGGGTCTAGCTGAGTTGCTTAGGGCCTTGCTAAATTTCTGAGGTTGGCTTTGAACTCACTATTCTCCTGCCTCAGCCTCCTAAGCTGCTGGAATTATGGACATGCACCACTGCACCTGGCAGGAGTCCTATTCTTGATAAAAAATATAGAATAATTTAAATTTTTTTAGTTGTAGATGGACACAATACCTTTATTTACTTATTTTTATGTGGTGTTGAAGATTGAACCCAGTGCCTCACATGTGTGAGGCAAACACTCTACCTCTGAGCTACAAACCTAGCCCCTAGAATAATTTTTTTAAAAAAATCAGGAGTGTCACTCTGGACCCTAAAACCCTTCTCTGTCTCAGAGGAGAAAGGATTTATGAGAAAGTTCAGTCAGTATCTTTTCCTAAATTAGTGGTGGATTATTTCAGAAGAAGTTTCATCACTGAGGAGACAGCCTATCTATACATTCCACAACTAAATGACTGACATTCCAGATCTATCACCATGGGCCACAGGAGCAGTTAAAAGAAGGGGTCCATTTATAACCCTTTACTTTTTTCTTTTCCAGGAGTTCAGAGACTCAGATCCTACCTGAAAAATCCCAGTCAGAAAAGTTGTAGTTTGCACCACATTTAAAGATCTGTTATAGTTGAGAAAGTAGGTGGGGGAAGAAAAGTCATCCTTGATAAAAGTTCCCATGACCAGGTGACCATAATTGAATGGTCTCTCCTTCAGGACGTTGATCATCAGAGCACTCACAAGGAAGAAGGGACCTACGGGAGAAGATATTAGACAGAAGGTGAGGTTTTACATCCAGGTAAACTGACAGGTACCGACAAAAGCAAGGCTTGGCCTGATTATTTTGTATTGTCTTCAATTTGAATAGACTTTCTTATTTGCAAGTGGCCATAGAAGGATCTGGGAAGTAAGAAAGAGCAGGGAAGAGGATAATGACTCCACATACTGTCACCAACTCATAGGATTTAGATGCTGGTGGTCCAGGTATTTACATCATGGGCATATGGGGTGGGAGTCAAAGAGAAATTGACTGGAAATGGATATCAGGCTCAGTCACTGCACCTGTACTTAGAGATAGATAAAAGTAAAATGGTGTGAAAGGGTCATTAAAAAAAAGCTACAAGAATAATAGGAAGAATACCCCACAATTTTTTTTTGAGGTGGGGTTTTGCTAGGTTGTCCCAGCTGGCTTCAAACTCTTGGGTTCAACTGATACTTCCAAGCAGCTGGGACTACAGGTGCATGTCACTGCACCTGTCTCAGTACCAAATACTTCTAAAGGTCTTACTATGAGCAAGACAACATTATGCTAAACCTGTTTCAAACAGTGTTTCACTTATTCCTCATATTGACATATATGCACATGGGAGCAGAGGCAAATCTTCCTTTAAAGTACTTAAACTATAAGAGGTCTTCCTGTCAGAATTTGGAAATGTTTGTGAGGTGCCCCAGGAACTTGGGAATAGTATTTGAATGTAAAAAGCCACACTTAAAGGAGTTAATTAAGTACAAAACATCTGATTAATGCCCTGAACAAGTCTGGATTAAGTGACTGTTGCAGAAAGTCTAATTAATGACAATGAGCCAAATAGCTTCCTCCTCCTCCTCCTCCTCCTCCTCCTCCTCCTCCTCCTCCTCTTCCTTCTTCTTCTTCTTTTAATTAAAGCTGTACCAATATTTTGTTACCAAGCAACATTTGATAAGAGGTCCACTGGTTTTGGTAAATAATAAACATTTTTATAACAACAACAACAAAAACAAAAAGCCATAGTAACATTCCACATCTAAAAGAATTGGATAGTAACCAACAGAATGTACAAACATATCTGGAGAATGGGTGTGTCGATAAGAATGTTCAAAGTTTGCCACTAGAAGTTGTGCAAAGGGGAAGCCCAGGAAAAGGTACCTCACAGAGTGAATGTTCTCGATGCCCTTCCAAGCCTCTCGGGGCATTTTGTGATTAATTCAGTGTTACCTAGGTTAAGTAAATGTAATGATTGGGCGACTTATAACTATTCTGGTCCCTCTGGCAATCATTTCTAATTATAAATCAGTAGATGGACTTTTGACTCAGGCAAGGAAAACGTGCTTATCTGTGGGCTTGAGTGTTCTGATTACAAGGACAGAATTTTCTCATTGTAAATTAATAAGCTGACTGGCTGTATTATAAACCAGCCCAATGGAACTGGGCTATTATAGGTCTGGCTAAAGACTGGAATATTAGCCGAATCATTTTTAGGTGTTTGGGTAGTGGGCAGACAAATTCCAAGATGTGGCAATTTCACCAAGGAAGTACCTCTGCCATTAAATTCCTTTGGGAAACATCTTGGTGGCCTGTTTTTCTAGGTGACATTAGTAATGACACACTAAAAGAAGTATTTATATTTTTAACGTAAATACTAACTGTATTAACCAACTATTTATCTTCTGCCTCTTTTCTATCTTAAAGATAACTTTAAATCAGATTTCTTAGCAATAAGTAAATGAGGAAGAAATTTCATCTACCTCCTTTGGTTCCAGTATTGAACTCACCAATGGACATTTGATGACATGATCCAAAAATTACATAAATTACAGAAGAACAGAAAGCTGTGTAAGCGACATTAAGAGGAGGAATCAGTTGTCTTGTCATCAAAGAAAGTGTCAGACCTGAAAAGATAATGTAAATAATGAAAGGTAATTTGGCTTTTAAAAGTCACCTTAAATAGAAACTGTAAAAAAATAATTAAAATAAAAATAGTCCATGTGAAGTCAGGCATGGTGGCTTATGACTGAATCCCAGCTACTCTGATCCCAACTACTCAGGATTACTGAGGCAGGAGGATACCAACTTGGAGGCCAATTTGGGCAACACAGAAAGACCCCAATCTCAAACAACAGCAGCAACAAGAAGATCCATGTGTACAGCCAAGTGAATGTGGTAATAGCATCCCTTCACAACAACTTCTAATGAATATCTTTTATTATCTCCTCCAATTCTTACCTTCCTTTTCTAATTTACCATGTTATTTGACACCTCAGTTCTTCATCACAGAATGAAACAAATTTCACTGTGAAGTCTTACTACTAAATAAGGAAAGCAAACACCATGACAATACAATTCGGAGTTCCAGTGTCCAGAAGTACCATCCCTATCCTTAGTTTAGCACAAGATGGCCCTGGGAACCCTCCAGGGCTGAAGATAGAGCTGGAGGCAAGGCAAGAATCACACTTAACTGACTTGACTCCAAGTTGATATGTGCTATTTCTTTTCTATTTGCCCAACACTCCAATCTCTTCCTTTAGCTCCTTCAACACTTTCCTTTTCTAAGATGCACCATGAGAATTTGGAAAATTTAAAGCAAAGATAATAACATGCATGATGTCATCCTTTTGATGTTTCAAGTCCACACTTCCTGGGCTTAAGGGCTTTTCCTCAACTTACATGTTACCAATATACTCATTGAAATTCAGTTATGAGTTCAGCCAGCTACTTTATCATGTTATACAAACAAGGCTTCTTCTAAATGGAAAATTTCAAACATATACAAGTAGAGAGCATGTATAATGAACTCCTGTATACCATCATTCACCTCAACAATGGTCCACCCATGGCCAATCTTGTTTCACCTATACCCCAATCCTCTCCCACCCTGTATTGGTTTGAGGCAAATCCAAAATACCAAATCATTTCATTGGTAGATATTTCAGTATGTATCTCTAAAAGATGGCTCTGATACTTTAACTACAATAGCATTACCATCCACTCAATGTTCAAACATCCTTAATTATCTCATAAATGGTCATTGTGGTAGAGGGTCTCTAAGAGGATACACAATGGGCAATTGGTATTCCTGCCTTAAGTGTGAGAAGACCCAATAACTTGCTTCTAAGGAACATACTACAATATAAACGACAGGATGTCACCTCCCCGATAAGGCTGCAAGGAAAAAAATCTATGGCTTCATCTTTATTGCTAGTGTTGTCTTCAAAGGTGTCTGACCTCTGTGGTTTAATGCTTTGGTTTAATGCTTTGCTGTCACTATCTTGAATTTAACACTTGGTTTAATGCTTTGCTGTCACTACCTTGAATTTCTGAATAAGTTTTGCACTAGGGGCCCTGCATTTCCGTTTTGTCTTGGGCCCCACACTTGCAGATGGTCTCACCAGATACCAAGTTGTGAAGATGCTCAAGCATCTTCATCTATGCGGAGGAACTCAGGCCTGTCAGTAAACATGAGAGTGAGCTTGTAAGTGGATCTTCTGAGTTCTGTCCACAGCCACATGAGTGAGCGTGGAAACGGTCCTCCGGCCTCAGTGGGGCCTTAAAATGACTAATAGCTTGATTGTAGCCCAATGAGAGACCTCCAGCCAGAGGTAGGGTGGGTTTTGAGGCAATCTTTAGCAAATTATTATTTGCTTTCATATTTCACAGTCTGTTAAATCAAGATCCAAATATGGCCCCAATCGAAATATCTCAAGTCCATTATAATTTACAGGCTCACACTTTTTTTTTTCCCCCTTAAGCATGGTTATATAGTTTGCAGGAGACAGAAAACACACTCAGATGAGCTTATGCAAAATAGGAAATTTAAAAGGGTACAAACAGTAGCTGGACGTCATCAGAGACTAGGACCAAAAGGGCATCAGGACCCAAGGCAGCTATTTCCCCCATTTTTTTTCTTTGCTCCAGGGTTGAACAGTGTCATGTCTTTGTTTCCAATTTGAGGCTATTATGAGTAGTAGTGTTCTGAATATTCTTGTACCTGTCTCCCAGTACACAGAGGTACAAGTTCCTTGAGATTATAAACCCTTAATTATAACTTCTGGGGCATTTACTAGATAATGCCAAACTGTTTTCCAAATGGTTGTGCAATTTATATTCCCGCCAGCAATATACGGGAGCGCCTGTTGTTCACATCTGTGCTGGCACGTCATACTGTCAGATTTTTAATTTTAGGGTGTATGGTGGTAACTCATTTTAATTTCAATTTCTACTTCATCAATTACTTATAATTTTGAGCATTCTTATATAGTTGTTTTGATTTTTTTAAGGAGTCTTATCTTTATTATAAATAAAATCTTTGTAGTGTTTATGTATTACAAATATTCTCCCCCATTCTGTGATTTTCTTTCTCTTTTGTTCTTTCTTTCTTCTTCCTTTCCCTCTCCTTTTTTGTTATGCTAAGGAGTGAACCCAAGACTTCATACACGCTCGGTGTTCTACTACTGTGCTATGTCCCCAGCCCTATGATTTGCTTTTCAATCTTTATAGAGGCTTAGAATAGACATGTTCTTAAATTTTACTTAATTCAATTTGTCAGTCTTTTTCTTTGGTCCTTTCCTTTTGCTTTTTGTGTCTCATTTCTACCTTAAGATTGTGATGGTAGACTGTGAAGGAATACAATTTCCTCCATTATTAAAAAAAAAAAATCTTTATTTTTTACCTTTCACAGTTAAGTCTTTAAACCACCAGGAGTTGACATTTGTGTATGGTGTGAGATAGGGATATAATGTTTTTTCCTATATTAGTATCCAACTTTTCACATAATTTATCATTAAAAAGCCATCTCTGTAGTGACATATGATATCAATCATGTGATTCATCTCAGCAGCTCGGGAGGCTGAGGCAGGAGGATGGCGAGTTCAAAGCCAGCCTCAGCAAAAGCGAGGTATTAAGCAACTCAGTGAGACCCTGTCTCTAAACAAAATACAAAATAGGGCTGGGGGATGTGAGGGCGATCTGGCTGCGACATCTGTCACCCCATTGATCGCCAGGGTTGATTCGGCTGATCTGGCTGGCTAGGCGGGTGTCCCCTTCCTCCCTCACCGCTCCATGTGCGTCCCTCCCGAAGCTGCGCGCTCGGTCGAAGAGGACGACCTTCCCCGATAGAGGAGGACCGTTCTTCGGTCAAGGGTATACGAGTAGCTGCTCTCCCCTGCTAGAACCTCCAAACAAGCTCTCAAGGTCCAAAATAGGGCTGGGGATGTGGCTCAGTGGTTGAGT